GCGCGGCGTGCAGCAGCTGGCACAGCGCCTGCACGCGGTTTGCACGCCCCTCCAACTCTCTGAGCGTGCTCTCTGTCAGCGCGGCCGCCGCCGCAGCCGCTGCCGCCGCCTCCTCGGCCCCGGCGCCGCCGACGACGCTCGAATCGAGCCTCTCCTCCTGCTGCTGCTGCTGCTGCTGCTGCTGCTGCTGCTGCTGCCCCGCCCCCCTCGCCTGCTGCTGCTGATGCTGCCGCTGCGCGGCAGCCGCTGCGCCGCCGCCGGGCGCCGCGTCCCCTTTGAGGACCGCCTCAGCCCGGCTGACGAGCGCGCTGCTGCCGCCGCTCGCGCTGCCGCCGCCGTTGCCGCCGCCGTCCCCGCCGCCGGCGCTATTGCCCAAACTGTGGTCAGAGCGCCCCGGGCCGCTGCCGCGGGCCGGCCGCGGGGCGGAAGCTGCCCCGCAGCTGTCGATCACGACGAAATCGTGCTCGAACGAGTCCGAGAGGTGGCGTGCGTGGTGGGCGCTGCCGGTGGCGCCGTGGGCGCTGCCGCTGCCCTGCAGGGGGTGGTGCTGCGCGGGCTGCAGCGCGTGCTGCCTCTGCTGCTGCTGCTGCTGCTGCTGCTGCTGCTGCTGAACGGGGGCCCCCGCCGGAACTGGCGGCAGCTGCTGCGCCGCCGCGGGCTGTCGCGCCTCAGCCGGCGGCGCCGCCGCCGCCGCTGCGGCCTGCGCGGCGTGCCCTGCTGCAGCGTGCTGCTGCAGCTGCGGCCGCACAATCAGCGGCGGCGCCGGCGGCGGCACGCCACGTGCCTGCGCCTGCGCCGCGCCGACGCCGTCGCGAGGCTGCTGGTGCGGCCCACCCGTGCCTTCACCTCCGCCGGCCCCTGTGTGTCCCGCCAGAAACGGGTGCTGGAAGAACTCTTCGAACGACAGCCGCTGCACGGGGTTGCGCTTGAGCAGCTGCCCGACCAGGGCGCGGCAGCTGCCGCCCAGCCGCGCGGCGACGTGCTCCGGCAGGCGCGCCTCGCCTCGCTCAATGTTGCGCAGCAGGTGCACGTGGTTGGTGCCGTTGAAGGGGGGGCGCCCGGTCAGCAACTCAAACAGGATGGTGCCCACGCTCCACAGGTCAGCCTGGGGGGTGGGTGGAGACAGGGGGTGCAAGAAGCTGAGGAAACACTAGTTAATACGGGACTAAACACCTTATGCTATAGGGGCAGCAATTCACAGTTGGTGCGGCATAGGGGCTGCTGCAGGAGAGCGCCATGCCAGTTTATTAGCAACCGGGGGGTTGGGAGTGTGCCATCAAGGACAGCCTAGGGCGGGCGTTCATGCAGACGGCGACGACAGGCGCGAAGGGGCGGCGGCGCCGGCAGGGCCCGGCGCTAGCGCTGGCCCGTGTGCTGCCGCCCGTCGCCGACCCCCGGCGGCGCGCCCGGGCCCGCAGCGGCAAGGCCGCGCAGCGCCCGTTGCGACCCCACGCCCCCACGCCGGGTGCAATCCCAGGGGGTCACTTGCGGACGAGAGGGTCGCGACCGTGCTCTCGTCCAAACGGGCGGTCGAACAATCGGTCAAACGGCGGTCAAACGGCGGTCAAACGCGGACGGGCGGGGGCCGCGCGCCCACCTTGGCGTCGTACTTTTGGAACTGCAGTATTTCCGGGGCCATGTATAGGGGTGAGCCGCAGAGCGTCTCTGCCAGGCCCTGGGGGGCCAGCGACCGGGCAAAGCCAAACTGCAAGGGTGGGGGGAGGGGGGAGGGTTCGGGGGTTTACCGGACGTGTGAGGGCGCGGCGCGGCGGTGCGAGGAGGCGGTGATCCTGTTGTAACGGATTCTGGGGACTCCAGGGGGTCTTGGTGTCGATGTGTGTGTGTATGTGTGTGTGTGTGTGTGTGTGTGTGTGTGTGTCGGAGAGAGAGAGAGAGAGAGTGTGTGTATGAGAGTCCAAGCTGCTCGGCGCCCGGCGCTCTTTGACCGTGAACAAGCAAGCGCTGACAGCGACCAGGCGGCCGCCGCTGCCGCTCGCCCGTCTGCTCCCTCCAGGCGGCACCTCCGCCGCTGACGCCGGTCCCCGGTGCCCTCTGCCCAGCAGCCCCCCATGATCTTGACCGCTGCTCACGTCCGCGATCTTGACCAGCGGCGTGGCGCTGGCGTCCGACAGCAGCAGGTTCTGAGGCTTCAGGTCGCGCTGCCAGGGGGGGGGGTTTGGGG